CTTAGTGTAGTACCTTTCCGAATTATCGTTTGATTATGCGACAACAGCTCGTACGGTGATTTCCCTCCAATCCCACCAACAGCACAGCATAATCTTCTGCACCTGTATTTTGATTTTTGCAGCGGTTTGTGACAGCTCACTTTGAGGGCTCTACGATCGTTTCCGCTCCACATTGTTGTACAAGATCCAATTTTCGTCCCCAGTTACCATGTGTTTCAGAAACGGCCCATTTCTGTTCCGTGTGAGCAACGAGTCGCATACGGAGACGCGGTCCATCAAATTGCGCTCATTCAGTTTGTGAGGTGTCCAAACATCGAGGCGCTTAACAAAACTAAGTCCCAACAAATGGTCATCGCCGGTTCATTTCGGAACAATAAGCCTTTCTCCTATTTCACGGGTAGAGATGTGCCGATCCTTTTCGATTATCATTTTATTTGATCCTCTTCAAGCGATGATGGCTTCCCTGCGCGTTGCCGATCTTCGAATTGAATTCACCCCGCTTATATCTCGCGAACCACTTACGAACTGTACTTTCATGTAGAGCATCCTCTCCGTAAACGCCACAGATCTTTCTCGCGGCTTGAGCTGCATTCTTTCCTTTGCGATAGAAGAAAAGCATTAAATGGCGAAAATGCACGCGATTGTCTTCGATTTTTACTCAAACCTTATACAAATAAACTTAAAGAAGATCAGCATAACCTAAAACGGTATGTGGATTAAGACTTACAAAAGAAGATCAACATAACCTACAACGGTATGTAGATTAAGACTTACACTTTCAGAAAATATATGATTCTATGATGTTAAACATTTGATGAACCAATAGTGTTCAAAATCGGCACGAACTCTTCGGACAACCCGATAAATACCGACCATTATCGCTCAATCTGCCTGCTATCTATACTCTGCAAGCTCATCACACAGAACATTCTTGATAAGACTTATAGAACACGTAATGAAGACAGCCATGGAAGGCAAGAAGGTTCCGAAAGGAGTACACTACGTTGATTCTATCCACGCACTCCCAAGCTTCTTTGAAGCGCCAGTTTGAGCTCTTTGAAGTGTCAGTTTGAGCTAGTGATGAATTTGTTTTACGCACGTCGATTCAAGAGGGCCTTCGACATAGAANGCAAGCCTTGAGTACCTAAGGTTTTCTACACAGTATGTCGGCGGCATATTGCGTGAGCTCTACAACGTCTTCACCACCAGAATCTCATCATTCTGAAGACATTATATTATATCGAGCACGTGGAACGCATACCAGTTATACTTCACAACTTTTCAAGAAGATCGGCCTGCGAAAGATCCTGAAGAAGGCGATGTTCATGAGGAACGCACACGCTCCTTTTAACGGGACGACTATCTCTTAATGATCCAGCAAGAAACTGAAAGATGTTGAAACACGTTTTTTGTCATTGCCCTTGCCAGATATTTTAATTTTTGGCATTTTTTCATGATCGGCTGGTACTTTTAGGCGTTGGCGTGACATACGGTCAAACAGTTGCCATCAGACATGAGATTCGTGGAAATCTACAGATTACTTCTTTTCGTATTGTTTTTCACGTGTTTTTAATTTGACCCAATTCAAAGTAACTCATTGCTCAACATGACAGGAGTTAACGTTGATGGTTGTGGTCCAGCTGCTGAGCCCAGACTTATCATCAATGAATGCTTCGATTGCGAAATCGTACAGTTGAATTCAACCACTGACGACTGTGAACGAAAGAGTTCGAAGTGGGCAGGGATTTTACCAACGACAAGGAGCCTCTATAAAATTGTGACATGCAGAGAAGCAGTGGAACGCTACCTTCCATGCATGTGTTGATATGATATGCATCAGTATAACAAACGCAGTTCAGCTGTTCATTGAAGTACTTCACTGAATTACGTTAAAAACTTATAAAATTCGTTTCCGGAATACACTAGTCATTCGCTCGTTTTCTCGTCTCTCTAGGGTCACCGGGAACGTTGCGTCGTTTCGGAGTTCCTGGCGTCTTGGATTGACTCCTGAAATGAGAAGAGGTTTTGAAGGTTAATCATGGGCTTGAGATCAGATGGCTCTGCATGAATTGTTCCTTTTTCAATGTTTTAGGCATCTTATAAATGCTCAGACTGGTAGTCGAAACTCAAAGCATTAGCTCAATGTTTCTCTTCTCTAACGGATACTACTTGCCGGATACTTTCCACAATGTAGAGAATCATCTTCCTGCATGCTCAGAGGCACGGCTCATGATAACATGGTTACTGAGTCTTTGGCCCTAAAGGTGGCCTAAGGGCCGCTGTCTGGTTAAAAAACGGCATAGACAGGAAATCGTCCTAGTTGTATACCGCCCTGGGATCTGGCTGTGTTTTAGCGGGCTTGTAAAAGGGACTTCGTTCGCAATGAAAAGCATGTATGTTGGAAATTCAAGCAGCTGATCGGACAGAACACGTTCCATATGGTGAAACTGCTTTTTTACGGTCGACGCTTTGACTAACATAAGTCGTTATTGTCAAAGACCTGGGCCTAATAAGAATCCGAAATTTCTGATATGAGGCTTACTCAATTGAACGCTTAGTCGCAAAGGGCAGTTCCAAGAACTCCCAAAAACAAAAAATGCAAAAAAAGGCAGTTGTTGACGTTTTCTCTGGTTTCACCTCGGCAGAAAGATGGGAGAACTTAGCTGGAGTTTCAGAGCAGAAGCTTCAAACTGTTCTCGAGCCCTTGACGGCGATGACGATTTGGCCCAGGCGTTGACCTTATAATAACGGTCGTACCATTAAAAACTTGTACTGTAGAGCAGTATAAGACACTGTGAAACTGTTCAGGCTTCAATAAAACCAGACCGGAAGTCAAATTCCATTTCCTTATGACTCCGCGATAGGGTGCAACGAGAAGGGCATGGCGTTCATGGGCGAGGTCTCAAACCTCGCGGGCTGCATACATACGTATTCGTCTGTGAGGCATCTACCACCCTTCTCCATGGCTTTTTCAAAAATCATGTGTACGATCACTGAATCATTGATGATATTCGAGACCGTTCTCCATCTCTAAAACTGCACTCCTATCGACCCAAATCAATACCATATAAATTGTTAATTTTGTTTGACTTTAGGTATGTGGACTGCAAGCTAATAAGCAGTAAGGGTACTTGCCTCGCACTGACATTCATGAGCGACTGCAACACACGTTCATTTCCAAGATCAATACGACGTCTGGCTTCTGCCTTAATACTATAAAAGTGAATATTAGGCGCTTTTGGTTCGAGAGAACGAGTTTCGCCACACGTACCTGCTTCTGTGAATTCTTTCGTGGTGGTGCTGATCGGCTGCGAGTGATTTGCGATTTCACCACGCTTTGCATGTCGAGGACCTTGAGTTGGAATTCTTTAATGGACTCTTCTACTCGTCAATGATTTATAAACTGCTATCCCGGCCCCACAGCGAATTTCGCAGCCGCGAATCTCTTAAGATAGTGCAGGCTCTATCAAGCCGTTGAAACTCGTCCTTGGTGGGTGTGGCATTCAAACGATATAATCTCTTCCTTTGACTCTGTCAAGAAGGTTTTTCAACCTTATAAGGGCAGGTATGGTGTAAGGGGGAACTCATACTAGGAATCTCAGAAACCATTTTTATCGTGAAATGTGCCTTTTAGGAAGAATTGTATCTGTAAGGCCTATTCCTTCAATTTTTATCCTGGTCGGATATGAACATTTCTTCAATTTCTTCCGCACTTCTACTATTTTCCCCACTAATGGAGGCTAGAAACGACGCCTTTGGACTAGATCATCAAAGAAAGCTCCTAGCAATACATTTGGGGAAAAGTGGCTACATTTCTCGAACTTTAGCCAATGGCAGCTTCTTTTCGTCATCAAGGTAGTATAGTACCCATCAAACAACATCATCCATACGGATAACCCCATCGTTCAGCATTTTCCCTTAGTCGCTGTTAATTACTTCATTCTATAGCAGCTTGTTGAGCAAAATGATTGTGAAGTTCGCCTCCAAGAAATTGGAACAAGTAAGGAGGATATCAGAAACACGCTCCTCGACTCGTTATGGCAGACTCGCTCTGAAAAGCCCCTTCCTACCCTCCCACACATACTAGTCCACGACGGCTCCGTGTATTTTCGTAGATTTTGTGACAACACAATTCCAAACCGACCTACCCTCTCTCGGTGCCGAATATACCTCATCATTTGCTCATGCTGTTGTATCCGATCAGACATGTTTCACACACATATCATTAGCTTGCCGAAGAGGTGAGCATTGACGAGCGGTGAACCAAACCTACCTGAATTGAAAGGCCTTGAAGTTGTTTGAAATAGGCAAATACGAATTGAGGATAACGAAATGTAAAGTTGGAATGACTGGAAGACAATCAGCTCTAAGAATAATTGATCGTTACGTCTATAAGAATCAGAACTTCATCTCCTAGTTACCTTTCGAATTGGTTTCAGTTGAATAGTACCCTAGCATTTTAGCTCATAATTATGTTTCAAACTGATTTCAACTGAATAGTAGACCTGTTCAGGCTAGAACACATTATCGTAGTGGGAACTATGCAGCAAGTAAAACCGGAATGCTTAGTGATTAGAAACTGCGAGATATGAATTTGTAAGTGGAACATAGAACCTTATTCAACTGAAGTGCTTACCTTGCTTATTCACTTACTGTAGATGCGTTTTGATGTGACATCAGGGGGTTAAAGGCAAGATAAAGGTTGAAGCGAAATTATGGATACAAAGCTCGGGTGTAGTATCCCCGGCAATCAGGAAAATTTTCGTTCCTGAACTTTACTACGGGTGCCAAACTTTTGAATATTTTGCGCTCTGGAACGACAATTACTGTAACTTTTGTAGCTAATTCGCAAAATGTTGGGAGTCATCGAGGCTTCCATTCGGCACACTCACTGCAGAGAACCGGAAAGGAGATGGCGATTTCCAAGAGGTCGATGCGTAGGATTGTGAAAAATCATTCAAATGGGAAGGCATACGAACGAGAAAAATATTTCAGAAGACCAAAAACTCTCAGGCCTGCTGTAAGCAAAACTTTCTAGATTCATCATGCCTTGGGCCTGAGGATGCTCTATACAGGAAGCAGAGCATCCAGTGGGCCTTCCAGCTCGACGAACATTATACCGTTCAGTTTCCCCGCTTGGAGCATCCTTATGCCCGAGGTGCGCCAAGGATCGCCGCAGACCGATTACTTGGAGGCAGCCTTCCCTTCAAGGGAAATCAGAAGGGAAATCGAAAGTCTGGATCAAGTTGGACGCCAACTATCACCTTAACAAGATCCACGCGTTTATCGACAGCCCTTGAGCTCGAATCGAACTGAATGGAGATCGTTTTGAAGCTGATTAGTGTCTATCATTAAGTTTTTTTTCTCTAAAGAGTGAAAAGGAACAGAATGTCTCCTGCTTCGAGAGAAATCGAGCAATTCCGCGCCATCTATTTTGTCGCCATAATTTTGCTTCAACACTGTATATCGAGAAGAGTAGGCCTTGTGACAGCACTCAGCTAAAGAGGAGTCAACATAGTTCCTTCATTTATAGGATCGCTCAATTGGCGTGAGACTTCTTCCGAAAAAAGAAAACATCATATTGAACAACGGCTGGTTTTCAAAATATTTTTCGAAACAACAAAGATGCTGCAGTGTATTACCGCAGTGCAGTACATTACTCTTAGCTACATTGCCAAATTGTAGTGCATCGCGCGCACGCAGAAAAGGGCCCTTTTTGCTAGCGACAGAAGAACATTAGGTTTGATCGAACCTGGGTTTTTCATCGCTTTTGGACCAAGTGAGAATCCATGCGTTCCTTTTGACTAAATAGGATCGTAGATTTCAGCATATGTAATCTAACCTAACAAAAAGAATTTCCTGTTGGAAAAGTTAATCTGGTTAGTATGTGTATCGGACCAACGCCCCGGCGTGAAGGAAGCAGCTCTTTGTTACAAATAGGGAGAGGGAACCCGAATTTTATTCTCGGAGTTCAGCACTCCTACAGCGCAAAAAAAACGCTGCTTCCTATTATCTGGTCGAAATCTGAGGAATAAAGGAATATTTATGGCCGTAGTGTTCCTTTCCTACCTTATATTGGCTCACTCATTTGAAAGGAAATAAAATAAAGTATGTTTTCGGAAATGAGTAATGCACTCGAGCTTTGCATCTTACTTAGACCGAAATCATAGAACATATGAATGCGTTCTCAATTTTTACGGCGGCTAGCTATATTCAAGTGACATTTGTACCCTTCCTTTACAACATATGCATAAATTTACTGGTAAATATGCGAAGGTTTAGTCCCCCTGGGTTTGACGTGGCTCATTGAAAAGCATAGTTCATGACGAGAAAAAACAAATAACGTTGAGATGAAAGAAATCGAACAAAGCGACAGGAAGGCAAGCAAGTCTATTGAAGAGAATGATGAGGGAAGAAGAAGGGTGACAAATTCGTGCACGGGCAAATCTCTTTTACTTCCCTCTTTGTACGTCTCAAGACCAGAGCAACATTTCACCATCGTGAATAGCAAGTACATAGTAGTAAGCCTATCTCATTGTCAAAAGCTGCATGGGGATCCGAGAGCTGTGAGCATCAGCATGTAGGGAAACGTTAAAGACCTTTGCAGCAGGCGTGGCAACGATGGATATGTCATTGCCAACCAGGTGCGGAACTAGGTGAGGGAGCTCGGAGAAAAAGGTACAGCATCGATTTACCTCTCGATTTCATGATGTTCGTATCTGCCGGCAGGCTAAAAGGCTGCGGATTGTCAAGGAAACGTGCTCGAAGCATACACGAGAAGCATAATTGACAAAATTGCTGAATGCGCTTGCCATATACTGAACAGTACAAAGTTTTCATGATGGGGAATATATTTGTACTAGGCTGATGGCTGGGTCCCCTCTGGTATTCAAGCCAGATATTTTGTCTATGTCACCGCATTTTTTTGCGTTGTTTGTATTACATTTCAACGAAGATAACTTGTTTTACTGAAATACCAGCCCAGTCCGCTAATCCTAAAAATCATGATTCTTGGGCCCTTTGGGCCCTTATTGGAAAACAATCAATGAGAAATAACTTTTATATCTACTGCACCTAATATTGACTCACTTGGACGCACTTAGACTTCCTCGAAACTGCAAAAACTCCCTCGAGCACTTTCCCTCTCTCGACTTCTTATCCTTGACATTTTTGGATTTGCTTTTCGACTTTTTTTAAGCCCCGGAAGAGCGAGCGCTAGGTTTCAATAAGCTATCAGCCAGAGGTACACTCGAGCACCAGTTATCGATGCAGAAATGTCTACCTTGGTCCGAGAGTCCGTCTATTACTTCCTTCCAGATGCAGCTACCGATTCCTTCCTTGTTGGCTTTCTTCCGGCGTAGATTTTAGTCCTTAATGTGTAACCACTTTAAAAACATAGCTTGAAAAGTTTTCAAGGATGCAGATTTCTTTCTCAGGCCTGCAGACTTTCTTACAATTCGCATTGATCAGTTTAGGAAAGCACTAATATTGTAAAGTCTACAACTTCAGGTTAATTATTACCGGCAAAGTGAACAGAAATCAATAATTGGTCGAATCGGGCCCTTGTATTAGGGTGTTCCAAAATTATGGTAGCCAATTCATGGCAATGTAGCTTTAAAGGTTCCCATCTGAAAATGACAGTGGAATCCATATAAACCTTAGCTAACTTTATGCGCTACAACATGCTGCAGTCCAATTTCAAAATACCCCCCATGAGCGTGAATAGAAGCCCAAAGTTTACCCTTGAGCTCCTCGCATGTTGCACGCAGATATCCTGCTCCATGTCTTGATAGTCGTTCTTGAGTCCTGGTTTGTAGGACTCTATACTGGCTCGGTCTTCTGGGTTGCAGTACCTTTTGCTGGGATACAAAATGTTTCAAGGGCCGAAATCTTCATGCTCCTGTGCTTCATTAAGTCCATCCGTATGCTCTTTGAGTAGAGTCTTTGTGATTTATTATCCCGCACCGACGAAACCACGAGCGTCTTACCTCTGTCAGTGACTCCCCCAAAAAAAAAACATCATTTTGCTGTTTCTGTGGTCACTTGTTTATTTAAGCGCCCGATGCTTATGGCCAAAACGCGATCATTTTATTTGTTGAGGATTGGTTTCACAGAAAATTTTTTGACTGAAGACAGCGATGAAGTGTTGCATGTCTCCAGTGGAGAGAGCTTGCAAATTTCGGCATTTTTGACTCTACACTGCCTGCTGTACTTGGAAACGGAGTGGCATTTCTTTATGAGACCGGAATCGTAATGAAGCTTCTGCCTGACAGCCCGCTCCACCTCGACAGGGCCCGCTCCTTTGCCATCTCTTTGATAGGATACCCACTATTGCAGGAACACGATCGACTCGCAAACAGAGCATTTTAAAAGTCCTATCTTTAGAAACGCTGGCCTTTCTACCCCTTCCTGGTCTGTCTCAAATTGAATCCTGTTCTCTGTATCGTTTAATAGCTCACTGTACGTATTCTATAGGGATCACAAAGATTTCCTTGGACCCCTTCCGCCTCTCGCATGCCAGTGAGTGCAAGTGGCATTGAATGAGCCTCGGTCATCTGAAAGATATTGGGAGTTTCACTTCCGTAACCATGCATACTGCAAGGAAACCTTCCATTGCAACTAACTCGTACTGGGTACAGTGAATTTGATAAACTACTTCTACCGTAGAAGTTTCTGAATATTGGCGCCTATAATTGGGGCACCTGTACTTTCCCAGCCCCCTCAATTGCAGGCCAAGTGCTCCAGTAAGCCCTCAGCCTAAGCATCTGCAATACTACTATTTGCATGTATAATCAATCCGATGAGTTCCTTGATTTTGGCAGAGCACTTGCATGAAAGTTTGAAGTGTTCCTTTGCCCTGTCTACTCGTTTGTCCTGACACAGGCCAGAACCCGCGGTCACCTCGCTCCTTCGGGAGGGGCCTTAAGACGAGCTTTTCTTTTCTATTTTACCCGCTAATAGAGATTGTCGGTTCTGCACTACTCGCAATCAGGGTGATTCGTCTTTTTTTAGAATTACTTATTCTACCACTGACTTTTTCTCACTCGTGTAACGGAAAGACCAACAACTCTCTGGGTTTGTACAAGGGCGCCACTCTCCCGCCTGAGTCACCACATCGTTTCTTCAACAATTCATGGAAGCACTTCTTCATTTGAATATAGAAGTGTTCAATTGGTTCATGGCAAATGAAAAATAATCATGTGAACAACTTATTGAGTGAATGTCCAGTCGTCAAGTTTCTTCATCATTAACCTCTCGTCTTCAATTCTGCAGCCTGATACTGATGTCTCGTTGCTCTGTTTCACATAAATTATTCGGGGTAATACTAGGCCTCATTGAGAAAGAGATCATTTCTTTCGGGCTTCTCGATATCTTTGTAGAATTTAAAGAATATCTCTCTACATATAAAGAGCTAACTTTGTCTCTTTTTGTATGACGATCTGTGCGACCGTCCGCGAAAATTCTTGCAGGCGCGGTGAAGACTGTGGAATTTCACGTGGACGCATTGGCTGCTTTCATAGTCAGCGAGTGAGCGAGCGAGCGAGGTCGCGAGCCGGTCGGGGGACTACTCGTCCGGCGGCATCGACCAAGATTCAGTTGTAAACAAGGGATAGCACGTTCGCTCGCGCGCTCGCGAGCCAAATCGTGGACCATGAAAGCAGCCATTGAGGAGGCGGTTATCGAATAGGAAATCCACCGATACTGCTAACACTGATCCTGAAAAAATCTTAGATATACATAACGCGCTAATGTCTGGGTGTTTATGTGTGTGTGTAAGCGTGTGTGTGCGACCGGAAATTCACAACTCTTGTCCCCGTTGACCTAGAAAGTTCAAACTTGGTAGGAGTACTGAGGACAGGACGGGAACATTTATGTTGTGTAGCAGGACCGGATTCCGCCTGTGGGGGGCGGGGTTTGTGCGAAATAAGATCCGACCGGAAATTCATAACTCCTGTCCCCGTGGACCTAGAAAGTTCAAACTTGGTAGGAGTACTGAGGGCACTACTGAGAACGGGAACACTCATGGAGGGTAGCATAACCAAACTCCGACCACAATGGGCGGGGAGTGAGCGGAAATTCATAATTCCTTAATTCCTGTTCCCATGTACCGAGAAAGTTCAAATTTCAAAGGAGTATATGCGGCAGGACGTGGGCAATTATAGTGTGTAGCAGCACCGGACTGCGTCCATAGGAGGCGGGGTCTGCGCGAAAATTGTCAATTTGGTCCTAGGGCGTCCAAACTTGGTAGGATTACTGGGAAAATGATGGGAACACTTACGGAGGATGGCAGGACCTGACTCCGCCCACAACGAGCGGGGTTTGTGCAAAATGAATGTTCGAGCGGAATATCATAACTCCCGTCCCCGTGGACCTAGACGTTCAAATTTGGTAGGAGTAATCGGAACAGGATGGGAACACTCGTTGTAGATGGCAAGACCAGACTCCGCCCACAGGGGGCGGGCTTTGCGCGAAAAATGTCAATTTGGCCATAGTTCGTTCAAACTTGGTAGGAGTACAGGCGACAGGATGAGAACACTTATTATAGGCACGCCCACAGGGGGCGGGCTTTGCGCAAAAATTGACAATTTGGCTATAGGGCGTTCAATGTATTCCAATTACACGGAGTTACGCTTCCTTAGCACTTCTGTCTTTTTTTCTCTGAATAATCGCTTTTGTGATATTATACGATGTTCAATCCAGACACAGTGAAGATGGCTTGCAGAAAAAATCGCTCCTAATTCGGAGCTTAAAGGAAGTGGAACTTCCAAAGAAAAAGGAGAATCCCATTAACTTTTCAACGCAACCTCCTGTCACCTCAAAAACTCCTTTCGATCCCCTCCGAATAGCTCTACTATAGTACGCAAGTGGTTCACTTCTAATGACTCTTTCGCTACTGTCAGCTTCATTAGACGTACTGGCGAATACACGGTGATTTTCCGCGCTGAAAGCCGCTTCGACCGTGAATGATTTATCATTGGAAGGAAACAGCGCGTAGGTGCGCGTATGGGGAGCAACTTACACGTCCCTGCATGTCTTGTTCGACAAGATGATGGCCATGAACGCACATGAAGGGGCAAATACGAGTTATTTTTTGACGATGTTACGGACTGTCGCCTCGGAAACCTTCAACTTCTTCACCATCTTCCTCATGCTCGTTTCGAATTCCGATGTATCATGGTTCCGATGACAGCAAGCTCTTCGATCCCAACGACCAAGTCACCGGTCTCATTTCCGATGGCGGTTATTGAGTGAACCTACCTCGTGGAAGCGGTGGATGGCACGGATGGCCATCGAGGGTGAGGCAGCGATTCCACGAGAGCGACCTAGCCATTTTCTCTAAATTGATACTACGAAAATTCGAAGGGAAGTAACGAAAGATATTAGAACCAGAAAAACAATACCATAAGCTATATTCACGCAAACAAAATTACTAAATGACGCAAATAATAAAATAATAATAATAAATATTCTTATATCAGCAGTGATTTGGATGTTTGTATCCTGCCAACATGGATCTGATATGGCGAGTTGTGAGATGATTAACCGGAAGTTATTAGTCCTGACTGATAAGGCAATATGGTTTCAATTGCTCCCCAGGTAACGTAATTGATACTGGCATAAGAGTGCTCCTACCACATGTCTTTTTGATTTATTTATTTATTTATTCAAATACACCTCAAGGGGTGCCCATCGATCACAAAGAAAAAGGACGATAAAAGTCAGAAATCAGGGTCTCATTGTGCCTAAATAGAAGAAAAAAGATAAACGCATCACAACAAAACAACATAAAAAGGTTAGAACTAGAGTAGTGATGGGAAAAGCAGAGGAATTAGCATATCTAGACGTCAAGGGAAAAAATGGGAGACCCTAGGTATTTGTTTTCCACTGTCAACAGATGAGGGGTCCCACAAGGTCCTGGTTCTTAGGCACTGTCCCCGGAAGCACATGTAAGGGTTCGAGTCCGTCCGAGGTCGAAGTTTTGTCCATAAATCGCCAAATTGTAAGCACAAAATAGTAATAAACAAGTATTTATCTAAGATGGCACACAACCTACGTCTTGCCGAAGATGGCACACAACCTACGTCTTGCCGTTGACGTCGTTTGAGTAAGCAACGCGGACCCACTTACCTCGGTTCCGATTGGCCCGCACCATTTAAGGGTGTGGGTTTAGTTGGGGAGTGGTCTCAGACGGTGATACGACGAGATAGCTGTAGGGGATCGTCGCCGTAGACGACGATAACCTCACTTTCTTAGTGTCCTCTCCATTTGTTTACTTTTTACACACGTATTGAAGGTATGGGAGCTCTACTGTATCGCAAAACCTTCGCATTTGATTACGGTTACTTTGTACTTCGGTGCGCATAACCGGACCTTCGTCACCTCCCAAGTGCATTCCGTGGATTATCCGAAGCATCTGCTTCTTCCTTGACCGTTCCTAGGGTTGAAACCTCCTCCGATCTGTTGGGGGAGACTGTTGGGATTGGATAGATATCCACTTTCCTTCCAAATTCCGTTCTGTCTATTCGAGAAACACATTCCCCAGACACCACTCTACCCTTTGCTCGCGCTGTAGTCGATGCGTCAATTTCCGTGTTCCAGCGTCACTTATCTGACCAACGGCTAAACGGGAAGGTCCTTTGAATGTTCGCTCCACGGCGATGGAAGCGGCGTTCAAAGGGCAACCTACGGGTAAATGCACTTGGCCTCACAACGACTGTACGGCAAGGTTGCGGGCTTTGCCTTTTTCGAATACGAAGAGTTGTGGCTTACTCTCCGTCGCTTTAGCTACGATTTCGTTTTATTGCTGAGTGGTGCATCATCATTGAAGTTTTAGTATATGTTTTCCTTGGTAGCATGTAAGACACTTTGCACGAAAACAAGCAAATGTGATAAATTGATTGGATCCTTTTTTCGGATGTTACTAACAGCTAAATTGTTTTTCAGAAATAAGCATATTCGGGCAGCAGTTTTTCCTACCACATATTCAAGATGGTGAGTTAACTTCCTTCTGGCCATGCCTCGAGTAGTGGTTTTTTATTAATAGTTTTGTAATCTAATTGTGTTATCTCTTAAGACGATCAGTAAGAACAACAAGATGATGGCTCATCTGAACTTCAGAATGAAGGTTATTTTGCAAGATGCGCGCACATTTGTTGGTTATTTCAAAGGTAGGTTCGCTCGTTTGCTAGGAGCTCTTTCCTTTCGTTACGTTAAATGTTTTCTAATTCAGCTTTCGATAAACACATGAATATTCTGCTCGCGGATTGTGAGGAATTCCGTCAGATCAAGCCAAAGCCTGGAAAAAAGGTAAGTGCGCTTTTCTTCATTCCATCTTTTTCAATCAGTCCTAAACCACCATGTCAGTTGCTACTACTTCCATAGTCTTACTACTGTCACCTAACCTAACATGTGCTCTTTTCCTGCCGCCCCAACTCCAAAATTGAATGATCTAGGTTTAGGGGAACAGAAGTCATGGCCCTCCGATCAACGCGAACAAGTTATAATACATTTCTGATTACAATGTTTTCGGATTGAAGTGCCCCGAAATGCGTAGGTTCTGCAATTTTGACTTGAAGCTTCCATGGAGAGGAACTCTGATGGAGGGGATTAAGGGAACGCGACCTTTTAGTGTGTCGCTATCCATGATGCGTAGTGGTCGTAATAGTAGCAAGTAATGGACTTATTTTTGTTCTCATATTTTCTGGCTTCAGTCCTATCACTGCTGTTGCCACTTCTCACCAACTACATTACGAATTCTAAATTGTCAAAGCTATTTTGAACGGGATTAGGCCTGAATGTTTCTTGGCCTCTAAAATGGCATATCGGCCTTATCGGTTGGTATCATATTCTTGCGTAATCTACGAATCATGCCTTACAACGCACCGTAGCAATGCGAGACCAAAAAAGGAGCGATTAAGCGGTACTTGCATTTCAACAGCTACGTTCATCCCTTATCAGTTTGTATCAGTTCCGATCATCCAGTCATACCCAACAGCACCTATGCACCTATGGAAGAGGCTAGAAGAGTTTATGGCTCTTGCTCTTGCTTTCTATACGCCCTTTCAGTTTTTTATCGTCGTTTTTTTTCTATCGGCAGTGTTCTCGTCCGTCTGTCTGTGTAAATTTGACGCTGTGGAACCAGATCCAGGGGAGTAGGAATTATGAGTTGCGGTTAACATGCACAAATATACAAACAGGCACATTTAGAAGAAAATAGATAGCAGGATAGCGCCAGTGCGTACACTGCTTCTTATGCTTACCATTCCACGAAAATCTACGCTGAGGATTTTTTCAGATTGATCGTGATGAGCACTCTGTAACTGTTACTTTTCATACTTTTCTTGATCTTCATTCGTATTCTAATCAAGAGTCACTGTCTATCATTCGTTCCATAAAACGTTTGATGGCTAGTTAAGAGCACAAACTCATGAGGTCAATATGATGTTAAATCAAAAAGATCTTGGTTAGCCCATCGGAGTGTAATGTCGCTGGTTTGGTAATTCTTTGATCTAGACTTTTGTGCTGCGCCCCTCTCGAGTTCTCGCTCAGCACTTTGGTTCTATTTTTCTTCCCTACTTTTCTTCTTGAGATTGCTCATCTCTTAACCCTATCTTCTCGAAAAGCCTCTGTGGATTTTCGCAAAATAACGCTTTTTCTCTTGGTGTTGAGCTAGGCATATAAACAAGAGCAATAAGCTCACACATTTTTATCTGTAGTCCACCCCTGTTCGTCACGATATACTTCTTTTTCCAATAGTTTTCTTGTAGATTGCTGAAGGAGAAGAGAAACGAACGCTTGGTCTTGTGTTGCTTCGAGGAGAGCATATCGTATCAATGACCGTTGATGGTCCCCCTCCAAAGGATGAAGACACTGTTCGTCTACCAAAGGCAGGTGGTATTGCTGGACCTGGACAGTCTAAGCCTGTCGGAAGAGGAATGCCTGTTATGCCTCCCGGCATGCCACCAGTTCCCGCTGCTGGTCTTGCTGGCGCAGTGAGGGGTGTTGGTAAGTAGTTCTTTTTTCACTTAAGATTGTTTCTTATATTGGTTTAACGTTCCTTCCAGGTGGACCGGCAATGGGGATGATGCAGCCTGGGTACGGTGCCCCACCACCGGGCATACCGCCAATGCCGCCTCGACAGCAATTCTAGTGCGATCTCATACAAAACTTGTAACTCTCTCGAGGCAACCATCTAAGGGGTTGCTCGAAAGCTCGAAATTCATTTGATGTGGTCAACTGATTGATTTTCATGTTTTGAATGTAGCGATATTCGACTATGCAACACTGTTTCTTTTCATTTTAACTCAAGCTGTCAATTGTTTTTTGTTGCTGATCAGTTGGAGATAATGGAGTTTTGAAATGATTTGTTCTCAAATAAAACGGTGTCACACTGATTGTTTCATTTTGCGAGTAGGTGCTGCCACCCCTTTTCTATCTTTCTGTGTATCTCAATACCTCCTATTGAAGATTAGTAGAATTGTGAGATGTGTTTTGAACACTTGTTGTAAATTTTGTTAGCGTATAATTTTAATCTGTCCATTCCGGAATAATCTGAACTCTTCCTTCTTTTTCTATAAAGCCCTGATTGATAGAAGCTAGGTTGAGATAGAATGTTTCCAAGTAGTGGTTTTCTTTTTGTTCTAATAAAATTGTGAAGACTCGTTTTGGTGTTGCTATAAAGCGAGTTGTCTTCAGGGTAACTGGTCAACGGGTCACTCGAGCCGCAGTTGAAAGATGCCGCCAAAAAAGAAGGGAGAAGTTGAGCGTGTTCCCCTACTTGGACGGCTAGGAACTAATCTTCGGGTAAATTGTTGTTTGTAGTATACTGTCTGACTTCCAATTATAAACAGCAACCGAAGCGCTGGACATTTTTTCTGTGCGAGCAAGTTCTGTGGTATGCACAGCTGCATGGGTTTAAGCAGTACAAGCTTAAGTACTGCGGGGTACCTGTTATAAACTGTTGCGGGGGCTTGGCACGCGTGTTGTGGTCTGGTTGTGGTTGCTTGACCGTCTTCGATATCGCAGGTTAAGATGAATCCAAATGCTCTCTTGGCCAACAAAACTATAATTTTTGGCGAAGATCCATCTTAGAGAGCATAATTCGGCGATAGGTGGACTTGTGGAACACCTATAGTTGGTTATTCAGTACATTCCTAAGAATCGTTTTTTGGTTATCTTTTACATGGTGTTGTCTGTTTCACGTTGGTCCATGATTTTTACGTACCACTTCTTTTACTTCTCAAAATTGCGCTGTAGGTCTACCGATCTTTTGATGGCTCATCACTCCTTGTCTGCTAAGCCATAAACATTGAAAGTATCTTCATAGGAAGCTTTCATTCGAGTACCTCTGATAGACCCAGCATCGATCGCTTACAATTAGCGGTCGAATGGGTTCTATTGTACTGTTCTGTAACGTTGCCGCTTGATGTAATCGTTGTCCAGCGGATTTTTTTTGTGACCTGAAGTATTTTTCGTGTACTGATCAAGATGCAGAGCTTCGAATTTTGTTGCGTTTTCTAACTCCTAATGAAATTTTCCCACTATTAAAACTTTTCATCTACTTTCGCATGATTTCAAGAAGGTTATGCCCGCATTTCCCGCATCTCTCGTTTTTGGTGCTAGATTAATCATGCTTCATCTTGCTGATCATAGCTTCCAAATCACCAGTCTGTTGCTCAGCTTACGCCGCTTCCCTCCTTCCTATAACAAAATTAGAATGTTCGACTTACCCACTATCTGTCTTTTCAAGAAAAAAATGGTACAACTCTGATTACCAAATTCTGGAAATGTTGCTGCTTTCTGTGACTTCTCTGCAGCCATTATCGATTTCTCAGCAATCATTTACGATCCCATCATTTCCCACATAACCCAGAAGTATTAAAATTTCACTGCTCTTTGTCTTGTGCACTAACCAAAAAGGGATAATGTACTTAACATGAAACCTAGAATGGTGGCCCGAACAATCGATAAAGTTTGAATGCACTCCACGAAGGTGAAACTGAAAAATTGCTTTGCAAAAAAAAGTTCTGGGGGCTCGAAATTCTCTTGACGGTAGTGGAATAATAATGGTGCTCTCTTCTTCGCGCTGATGCATCAAAATGTCCTCGGTATTCAAACAGGCTCATTGTCCTCAGTTCACCACTTTGCACTTAAACAGAACAAAAATCGCGCTGGATACTCTTAGGGAGCCTAAATAAGCCAAAACATTACAATGACTAAATCTTTCATAACATAAGCCCAGATCTAAGGCACAGTTTACGCTAATGTTGTGCTATCCTTTTTAAGCAAAACGAAGGGAGTTCAGAGTAGTTCATCGGTCTCGAAGAAAGCGAAAAGTTTGCAGGATTGGGGAGATATAAGGGCCCTTGAATTTAGTTAGATTTGGTGGTTATACGAGATCATGCTGTGCAATGTCTTAGAGGTTTGGCTATAGTATCCCAGCCGCCCAATTTGCTTCCTACCTTCACATCGGGGTTCTTACCGGTCTGCTGTTTGAAGTTTCAATTTGTATTCTCCGTTGCAAATTCTGAATAATACGTGGCCGTTAAACACCGCCTTGGGTGAGCCGCCAACGTAGCCCATATACTTGGGCCCTTGTTGCGCCCTATCTGTGCCACATGTCGCATGCATGAGGCTAGAAATTCGTCCCAGTAAAAAATCACAAGGAACATTTCTACGTGGACTGCGCCTTCAAGTAGACTGAGCGTAGAAGCGCTGACGCTCGAGAAACCTGTTACAGTTTCTAGTTATGGACGTTCGGAAAGTTTGTAAGAAATGAAATAGTTGTTCTAGATTTTCTGATAATCTATTGACTTTATGATCATCAGTTCCTGCAATGTGAGAAGAGAACCGTGCGAATTTATGTCGTTTCAGATCGGCATCCTTGGTTTGCCAAACGTTGGAAAGAGTACATTCTTCAATGTCCTTACCAAGTCTCAAGCGCAAGCCGAGAACTTCCCATTTTGCACCATTGATCCGAATGAAAGTAGAGTTAGTTTCTTCATATTTATGATCAATCGTCTTTTAGGGATTGCTCCAGGAAGGAATAATGTGGGAAGTAGCTCGAAGCCAAATACTCCGTGAATAGTTGTATATAAAATATTCTATAAAATTTTACGATGTCCAAGGTACTACTCGTTTGAATTTAATAACGGAACATCCCAGATCCATATTCAACTTTTAAGTAACTACAGGAAACTAGTTTCCATTGCCGAACTGAGGGAATACTACTCCTGAGTTGAACCAAGTTATTAGCAAGTTTCTATTAGTCAGTATTTAATTTCCGGATCTAGGGTGTTTTCAATTCTACATTTTTTGGTGAATTAATTCAGCATATTATTCACTAGCATTATTTGAACTTATTTCCATCACACGGGTGACTGCTCGAGTCGTCTTCTGTAAATCTTCTTGGAGTTGTGATCGAAGGAAATAGATCTCAAGTCTTCGATCCTATATGTTAGCGTATGATTTTTCTTCTGATTGTATGTCAGAGAAGATTTACTTCTGAGAAGCACTCTGAGAACTTGGGGTGGCGGTTATTGTTCTCCGAATTCCCAGGGCGAGCGGCAGTGGTTCCGCGACGACCACCGTATCCTCCTACTGGAAATCCAAAAGTTTCCCTCATTAGCGCGCAATGTCGGAAACAATGGCTGAAGCACCAAGCCAGTTAGAGATGGAGCTCGCTACACGATTCGGAAAGGCTGGAGGTTATATTGGATCTGGTCATCAAGCGTGCTGTAAATCAGAAACTCTCAGAGACGATTCGCTGCAATTCTAGCCAGCATTTCGTGCGATGACCCTAATCGAAGTTGAGTCAAGAAACGCGTAAAATGCGATTTGTTTCTATAAGCATTACCAAATGAATTGCGCAGTTGTTCAAAACTTCAGGGAAAAAGAAAGAATTGGTCCTGATCGACTTTGGTTATCCGATAACAAGTTTGGTTTATTCAACGTTCTTCAGGTTCCGGTTAGCGATCCGCGCTTTGATTGGTTAGTAGAACATTACAAACCTGTCAGTAAAGTGCCAGCCTACCTCAACGTCACAGATATTGCTGGTTTGGTAAAGGGTTAGTGCAAGATACGGTTTACTGCAAATTACCTAATTTATACAGCACTATTCACCTCTAGTTATGTTCATTTTTAGGGGCAGCTGAAGGACAGGGATTAGGCAATGCTTTTCTTTCCCATGTATCTGCATGCGAGGCCCTCTTCCATCTCTTGAGGGCTTTCGAGGACGAAGACGTCACTCATGTTGAAGGTGTCTTGAGAAATTTTGACTTGTCCAACTAAACTAACGTGTTAATGATTTTGAATAGGTGAGGTCGATCCTTGTCGCGACTTGGACATCATCAGCGACGAGTTGTTTGCCAAAGATTTACAGCTGTTGTCTGGAATTCTTGATAAGGTTGAGAAGTTGGTTACAAGGGCCGGAGACAAATCTCTGAAGGTGCGGCTTGTTGAGATCGTTTGTTGAAGTCGCCAATACTGGTGTTTTTGAAGGTGGACTACGATACCCTGCTGCGGGTGAAGAAAAATTTGGAGGAGAAAAAGCCGATACGATTGGACTCATGGAATGAGAAAGAGATTGAGGTAATGTTTTGGATACAGTTTTGATGGATCATTCTCATTCCATGCATTTTTTCAAAGGTATTGAACAAGCATTTATTCTTAACTGCGAAGCCAATCGTCTATCTGGTCAATCTCTCGGAAAAGGACTACATACGCAAGGTATGATCGTCTAAAGGTTTTGGTTGTTACAGAACTTGCGTTGATGTTACGAAAAGTTCAAAATCTTACGATTCTCCAGAAGAACAAGTGGCTGCCCAAGATCAAAGAGTGGATCGACAAAAATGATCCAGGTGCATCACTAATTCCATTTTCGGGAGCGTTTGAATCGAAATTACTCGATATGCCGGAGGATGAACGTGAAAAATTCCTAAAAGAGCACCAGACAAGTTCAAATTTAGATAAAGTAAGTCTGGAACCCTGAAATTCTTTACTGCTGCTGCTGTCCCGAGTAGGGAATTTGTGCTGTGGTTCTCTTTGTTCGGAAGCTTTGGCTTTTCAGATAGTTCATATTGGCTATAAAGCTCTACAGTTGGAATACTTCTTTACTTCTGGAAAGGATGAAGTGAAAGCTTGGACTATCCAGGTGCCCATACTTTCCGTTTACCATATTTTTTCCTCGATCGTAGTAATATCCTTCACTCTGCCTTGTGTTCATTTGCTGTCTACTTCAGAAAGGAACTCTGGCGCCAAAAGCAGCTGGGCGCATCCACACAGATTTCGAGAAAGGTTTCATCATGGCTGAAGTTATGAAAGTTGCTGATCTAATGGAGCTTGGCGATGAAAACAAAGTGAGCGATCAACGTTGTTTTGGTCATACAAATTAACTGTTCTCTCTCTTTCATGGCAGGTGTTGCGCTTCTGAACACTCTTTAGCGCTGTAAGCGGTGTTGCCTTCGCTGTCGTTATCTCGCAGGCGAATGCTGTCCAGCTGTATTTCAGCAGTCTTCCATTTTGCACTAGTGTCCGTAACTGTTCCCGTAATTATTTCCGTGATTCCCTCAATCTCGATCTCAGGATGAAATAATATAAATGTGTATTTTGCAGGCCTAAGAGGGCGAGTAAGGCCTTTGCGTGCTGGGCTGCATAAATTTGGGGAAGCTCTGCCCGCGATGGGCGGGGAGTGCGTTCAAATCGAGGCTTTTTTAAACATTTATAATTCTTGTTGTCGTTTTGTGTACTTTTCGAAGCTCTTTGCTCTTCACTTTTATTGGTGAGCTTTCGGCATATAATGCCTTCGTCAGACCTTAATTATTTACAATACATTGCTGCATACAATCTGTCACTATCAGTTACAATACAAAACACATCGAATCATACCAAGTCAACCGGAAATGTTGGGGAAAAG